CTCTTGTCTTTGGTGTCTCTAGGGCGGATTATACACCGGATGCGTCTCCGTAATCGGCTTCCACGATACACGTCTGTCATTGGTTGCGCGCTCACGACAAGGGTCGACGAGGACCATCGTATAAACTTTTCGAAAGGGTTTTGTCTTGCGGCGCACAAAACATTCAAGTGGCTCTTGTATCTTTGATCGATAAGGCGCGCTTGTAATTCATGATAGCGGTTGACTGTATTGAATGGACCACCACTGTGTCATATAAGTAAGAGAATGGCGAGGAAATTAAAGAAATGAATCATCGCGAGATAGAAGATATTCGTTAAAGTTATCACTTAAAAAATTGCATGACGAGATTATTTTAATCTTAAAATTTTACATGAAATTTAATAATATTTTAAAAATGTGGTCTTAAAAGCTTTATTTTTTTATCGTTATTTTGTTATTTGTCAGGATAATATTTTTCTTTTTTAATTTTACAATTCTTTTTCTAATAATTGTGCGTCTAAGTTTTTTCTTAAGAAATTTCTTAAGAAATTTCAGCGTTTTGGAGAGAGATAAGTGGAGAATTAAGATAAGTGCTCTGAAAGTAAAATACACATTCCATGTACTTTTGCGGGATTGGAATGTATTGTTACTGCCCACTTTGATGCCACAGCGGAGTAGAGTTCGTAAATGAAATTTACGATGTCCGGAATGCCTGCCGAATGCAAAGCAACGTCCGTCGAGAGTACAAAGTGAAAGAGTTGTATATGGATAGTAATAATTTTGCTACACAATTGTCTACTATAAACTATATTTTGCCACGAGACTCGTACGGGAAAACGCGAGAATCGCATCCCCGAAACAAAGCTGCTTGCTCTAACGTTCGTCACATAACGAACATCTTTTATTGCGATAAAACTGACTCATATCATTTACCGCGTCGTCACGTGTGAACTATACGTCAGTCCGTAAATTGATATAAGGACATGTATAACCGTGCGATATGAAAGCCCCTTTATTGCTCCATTCTCATCCCTATGACGTTCATACGTCTTTCTTCATACCGCCTGTGCACAAGGAGCATTTTGCTAGTATGGCGCCAAAACGAGAATATTCTCCTTAATACCTTCTTCCCCTTCAGCGACTCGGTGCTTGGTCTATTATCGAATTTCCGTGCGTATAATAACGAACTCGCTATTCATAAAGAGATCGTAAAGAAGTGAATACAAAATATATACATGGAAGGCATTACTTATAATTTAGGAATCCTTTGAGGAACGTAATAATTATTGCGTAATATGCTTTATAAAATGACTGCGTTGAAAAATTATCTTATTTAAGTTTGCTAATAATAATGTCTAAGTAATGAAAAAATGGACTATTGAAGTTTCTTTCATTTCTTTTGCAGATGTCACCGTCCAAGAGACAGTCTCTTTTCGTGGAGCTCCGGCTTCGATAACTTCACAGGATTCGTCAACTGGGGCTTCCTACTGCTAGGTATTGGTGGTATCCGGTTACTACTTGAAAATTTCATAAAGTGAGTACCTCGAATTGTCGATAATACTTCTCTCTTATCGAACGGACACGGCAGATTTCGTTGGGTCATATCCCGATGAATCTGTCAGTAATGTCTCGATCGATATAAAAATTTTTATGCGCGATATAACGTTAATAATGAAATTAACTAACGAAAATTTGTTAAGCTTTTATTTTTATTTTTATTAATAATGTAATAAAATTCTGGATTTATCTAGATTTTTGGAATTATATTTGAAAACTGATAAATATATGTATTTCATTTCTTAAATTAAATAAAATACAAACATTTATAAATAAATTATTTTGTTATATAACGAGATAACGTGAAATGTTTTGAGTTTTTATAAGATATGTTATCTAAAATACTTCAGTAGAAAATTTTTAATCGTTCAAATCAAATGGATTTCGAGAAAAAAAAAGATTTGAGGAATTACACGCTAAGTCTAATTGAATCGGATTTTACGATCACTTTAATAACATCTTGAGTTTTTTTTTTAATCAAAGGACATAAATAAGAAAATAAACTTTAATTTTTACTAACAAGCATCTATATTAAATATATGATTTAGTTTTTATTCTTATTTTTTTATTTTTTGTAAATTAATTTTCTTCAAATCTTTTTCAAATTATTTGCAAAAATGTATGGATGTATATTTAATTGTGTACAGCCAAAAAAATGTGAGTGGTCAAGATACATTTAATTCGAGTTCGTAGTTTTGTTTTATAGCAATAAGCCTAAATGGCTGCGTAGATCAGTCATTCTTGCGAGAATGAAAAAAGAGAGTTCTGACAAGCAATAGCGTCATCAAGAAGTTGTTACTGGCTTTAGAGGCCAGAGTTAGAAGATGGTGTCTTTGCATGGGGTGGCAAACGATGGGAATACGATAGGGGAACAAAAGGCGATCAGAAGTGCCTCTATCGGTTTGATGGATGTGCTACCATAGCGATTGACGGCGTAGTACAAAAAGAATCGATTGCCGGCAAGCTGACAAAATTGAGTTTGTAGGTGTAACCGCTATAACGCGATTACTCGAGCTGTTCTTTAGGGATGGCCACGGATCGATCGTGTAAGTAGATGTTATTTGTAGTCTGCTCGATAACGTTTGTTGAGACAGCGTGAGACAGGTTGTCAACCGGTAAGGTTGCATGATCTGTTTTGATGCGCTCATATTTCATCAAGAACACGTTGCAGAAAACAAATTTGATACCTTTGGAAAGCGAGAACTGTCATTGTTACGATAGTGCATATACGAGCATGTCATTCGATATTGGATTTAATAAGGTTAATAAATAAGAGAAAGATAATAAGAAAAGAAATGACACAGCGGATGATCAAAATATTGTCAGACAATCTGTTAAACTTGCGACGAGAGAAAATTACATTTTAGCTTAATATAACATGGTACGCGTACATAATATTGAATGTCTCATTTGCAAAATAGTTAGAGCAAGCTCGTCTCGTGAACGAGTTTAAATTTGATTTAAATTATTATGTCACTATTGGACGAGATAATTTATGATTATCATTCTGATAATTTGATTTATTTCAACGCTCTTGTAAATTTATGTACCTTCTAATATGGATCATTCAATTGACTTATCAGGTCGCAGGTCGTTACTTTCGCGATGCGCTGCCGGTGAAAGGAAGGAAGGGGAGTACGAGTAATAGCAAATTAATTTATGGATGGCAGGATGGAGCGGAACTGACCGTTCCTTGCCTTTCCCAATCGAATTAGCCGCTGTCTGCAGCGATGGCCACGAACGATGGTACTCTAGAATGTTCAAACAACTGAAATTTAAAAAATTGTTATATATTTTAATTGTAATGCTGCATAAATATGCACAAAATATACGTGCGTGTCTAAATTTTATATTAAAATAATAATGATTCTACGCTAATAAATATTCTACGATAATAAGTAGATTGAATCGAGATCGCATTGTCAGAGCTAATCATTTTCTTATGCGTATTGACGCTATTACTAGCCGCGCTACGCTTCCTTCTTGCAGGATATTGTCCTCAGAGAAGTAAGTTAGCTGCCTTCTTCTTCTGAGGACAAGAGAGAAGGGTAAACGTTGTCCATGAATAATTTCAACGAGATTTTTATCGCTGTTGTAAACTCTCGGCCTCGTCCGGTCGCTCTCGGGAGCGCGTAACAAAAATTTATCACGCTCGTTAAGCGTGGAAAAACTTTCGAGCGAACTTTTGCGACGTAATTGCTCGACGTAGCCCCGACACGCTTCATACGAGCTTGAAACAGGCGTAGTTATGAACGGCCAAAGACGTAAGCGATTATATTCGAATTGAAAGCATTCAATTGATATTTTCAATTTGCTATCTATTCGATTTTAAAATAGATAACGCTAAAATATTTTATTTACACAAAAATATAAATAAAATATTTTTTATATGATTAGTTTAATATTATCTGTATTAAAAAATATTATTTATTTTGATAAACTTAACGATCTTAATAAGATTTTCGCCAACCATTATTTTGACGTGAAATTTAGATTCATAGTTTAGACAGACATCTTCAGAGCTATAGATATCCAAGAGATTAGCGTGACACGTTTCCGATTAATACAGATATGTCTCAATGCGTTTCAATGCGCTCTGTATGATGTAACGTTTAATCGGCCAGATAATTTCGCGTACAATTGCATCACCGCTTAATTAACTTATCGGCGTTTCCGAATGAACACTTCGAAGGAATCGTAACTATTTAATGCAGTCTGCGTTCGACTGATTCGTTCTAGCCTGTAAAAAGACCTTTCTAGACTTGATTCGCGAAGAACAAGAACAAGCGGCGGCTGAATCTCGAGGATGAGGCTGTCGACACGATTTTGCTGCGATCGAGATTAATCGATGAGACGAAGGTGGGAAAGGGAAAAGAGTAGATTGGCGACTGAAAAAAAGCACGTCGGTAAGAAAACGGGTAGATGCTTCTCTGCGAAGTGAAAAAAGGCAGCGAGAGAGCTCAATTAATCGAACTCTCGACGAAAGACTTCCTCGCTATCGATAAAAGTCCGTGAAGATGAGTAAAGGAAGTTAGTGAAGTTTCTCCTCTCTTGTCTTTCGTATCTATGCGGATTGTTCGTAGAACTTTTTTTAAAGATCCGCCATGCAATCGTAATTTATGCATTTAGAATCTAAATATGAATGCGCATTTATTGTATAGTACGATTTCATCAACTACCCTTACAGGATTTACATCCTGTTCTATTTATATGACTCATTTTTTAACATAAATAATTGCAAAAATTGTAATTTATGATATTTGAAAAGTTATTGTTTCGGAGTTATGTGAATTAGTGATAAAATTGAAGGAAGTAAAGAAAAGTAGAATAATTAATTTCTTCCTGTCATAAATTTTTAATACATTGTTTTAATACATTGTTTTTTTGCATTGTTAGAAAAGATTTTTTATTTTAAACAAATATTTAAAAATACTGACATTTTTAGGAATCATTATTTATGTTCAAATAACAAGTCTATGTGATAGTCAATTCGTAGTAATATTGTTAAATTTCATTCATATTTAAGATACATTAAAAATCAATGTTTCAAATATAGCATCGTTCTAACAATCACTTTTTCATCATCCGATTTTATGAATAATTTTCGCAAAGATTCATGCATCACATGAGAACGTAAAACTCATTAATCAAAATTATGGATTCCATTTCATATAATAGAATGAAATTAGAACTAATGTATATGTCGATTGATAATTTAATACTTCTTCATTGGATATATTAATGTCTCTCTTTATAAATCATATATGTATTTTCTAAATAGCTTGCTATTAAACAGAAAATAGCAAAACGCAAATCAATATCATAATGTAGGAAAATTATATAAATGTTACATAAATGATAATGGAATTGTTAAACATATGTCAATATTAAAATAATTAGAAATATTATATTTTACCTATAATTAAAATTTGTTACAGATTAAATAAATCGACCTTATATAATGAACTCTGAAAGAGATTGTTAATAAGCCGTGCTACATTTCATATCCAGATAAATATCAAAATAAATTTTAACCCACGTCCACGATCCCTCCAGTGCTCCTTGAGAACAATCCATCTCGTTTCGCTGGGCCAATCCGACACTTGAAACGAGCCTTCAGCCTTTGCCATTAATTTCAAGGAAGAATCATCCTCGGCGTTCTTTACAATCATAAAAGTGAAAAGACGTCTCGTTTCGCGCGATTTTATTAATATTTAATGCGAATCGTTCGCCCGCTCACATTTTCATCCAGGCCCGTCCCATATTGGCGCCATAACTCTTCCAATCTGGACCTCTGCGCACTCTCGCGCCCATCGAGAGTCACCCTCCCAGGACCCGACGTTCCCTCTCACCACGTTCGACGTGAAATTGGGGATTTTATCGTGACGCTGTATTAACGAACTCCGGCGGGCGAAGAACGAGCGTGGATTTAACGGGCGGATCAAGACGGCTATTCCCGTTGGGGAAGAAATTTAATATCGTTTCTGTTCACGTCGCGAAGCGATGAGTTTCGATAAGTGCGATATCCCTTTAACTTTCGAGTACTCGAAAAATGTTTTATGAGACTCATCCCGATTGTATGTATACGCGTATCGAAACGGGATCGGTTTAATCATACCGAACGTACCGAACGATTGTTTTCTTTCTCATCGTTGAATCTTTCCATCTCGCTAAAATGAATATTTGAGCACGAATGGATTACCATTTTGTTTTTCCGTCGGCTCTGACTTTTATATTTGCTGTTAGAACGTAATAAAAATTTCAAAGCTTTAACTTTTCAAATATTTCGCTGCATTTGATTTGACTTTGATAGACTTGTTTGATAATAAAATTGAATAAAATGATTAAAATTGATTGATTCTCTATAATTAAAATAATTTTTTATATTATTTAACGACCATTACGTAAGACAATAAGCCATGATTGACATAAATGTTACTACTTCGAAACTGGGTTTTGCATTATATATATGTGTATCTGACATATGTGAAGTTATTTTCATGAATTATCACCGATCGACTTGTCACACATCGCATTATACCTATTAATTATGAATGAGAATCGTATTTTTTTCCACGCTACTGTCCAATTACCGTAACTGCGTCAACATGACCGATAGCATTTCCGCAGAGAACTAGGTCGGTGATTGCGTTCTAATAAATATTGTCTATCTGTAACAACCACGCCCACTTGGAATACTTTAATTACTCGATCCATAAGTCTCGTTTATCATCGTTAACGAGCTTGTACGACCTGAAGTCATTATGTGCACAGTACCACCTTTTTTTTGGCCGATACGCCTACTTTTGTGTATCTCGCGAAAAAATAATGTTCTCGATGGCTTAGATCGATACCATCGCGAATTGTATTTTTAGTCTAATATAACGATCAGATGTATTGGACGTATTTTTATGAACACGACATTGATAATAGCCGTCGAATACATTTGTCTATTTCGAAATAAATGGGAAGGTAATTTCCCAGCCACATGTTACAAATTATCATATGTTATACAAATTATCTTCACTCGCTATAATTTCGACTTTATCGCAATGATATTTATGGATGGAGCATATTAAATTTATGTAAATCCTATTTACATATTATATACTGCTTTTGTAATCAATATCGCTTTTTATAGAACAGACAAACATAACTTAATCGAGTTTAGCATATCCCATTTGTTTATTACGTTATCAGACGCGTCCTGTTTCTGCATAACTCCGTTTGATTTACGTGCAGAAATTAATGATTCGTGTGCGCGCAGAAAGTGCCATTTTACGAAATTGCCAATAAATAATCCGGCACAATTTAGTTAGGGGGAGCACCGTTTTTAATATTTTCCGACGTGCGGCCATCAAAATAAATCACAGATTCACATCAAGATCGCAGTCAATCACGGGACAGACGTTTTTCTGCATTTCCATTGAGTCGACTTTTCAGAGAAATCGTTTTATTTCCTAGCATGAGCTTCCCTTTTACGTGGTGCGATGCGACAGTTATTATTTATTTCAAGAACAAAGAACGCGGACCTGTTCCCTTTATTTTCTTTTGTTCCTTTCTCAACCATCTCTGAAGAAGAGATCTTACCAGAGACAGACTATAATAATGAAGCATTTGCTCCTCGGTTTGCGTCACGCTTAGTACACCAGTGATGAAAAACTAAAGATCATAATGGAAAACGTGCCGCATTTTATCTTATATTTATCCTCTCTTTGTGCTATTTATTTTATTTCTGTTATATAATGCGATGAGATATGTTTAACAAGCTGCATATTATGCAGCTTGTTAAATATAAATAAATCTATTAATGTCTATTTTATTTTACGCATTTAATTTTAATATGTTTATCTCTTTCCACGTGTATATTATTTGTATATTATTTGTCATAGTTAATATTATATTAGCTTTGTTATCGTTTCTTCTTAATCGTTTCTTCTTATTATTTAAATGCAAATTATTACACGATATATTTTTACTGCTTGTGAAAAATATCTTGAAATTTATATATTTAAAATTCATTAAGAAAAAGTAAATAAAAGTAATATTTAGTATTTCTTGTTTTATATTGCAGATATGGAATCAGAGTGGATCCTTGGCAGTGGTTCCTTTTTCTTAGTGGCAAGAATGATGGCGGCGAAGAATATCCTTCATTGTTGCTGATCTGCTGTAAGTGAAATTGCCGATATGTCATTTTACATTTGTTCGGCGGAAACGAAGCTGTCAATGCTCGTGGCCTCGATTACAAAGTGATCGACATTTATTATAAGACTCTTTCGTTTTCTTGATAACGGAAGTGTGTCAATTGAAAAATTATTGATAGCTCTTTTTATTATTTAAAAGACGTCTTTATATCTTTTTGAAGTTTTTACAATAATAAAGTTATTTTTGAATAAAAATATTAAGAACTAACAATGTAAATGGACTTTATTAAGTTGCAACAATATAAGCAACAATATAACAGGGACAAGAAATTATTTAAATACAATAAGAAAATTATTAAATTACTCAATAAGTAAATTTGTATTGTTTAAAAGAGATTATTTTATATGTATATATAATATACATATGTACATGTATATAATATACTAAATTCCTGTGCGTATGTAATTATACGAGTATGAATACTAGAGAGGATCTACTCGCGAGATGGATCTACTCGCGAGAATTTAAAATGAAAAGTTCATGAGCTCAAAATTGTTTTTTGCTATAGAAAGACCTATAAAATCGAGCTGCATCTGCGAGAAAAGGATAGCTATATATGCCAGGTTCTAAATTCTACTTTTATTGTCGCGAATCGCGGTCCTGGTTGAATTCTCTAGTATCCGCGGTAATTCAATTTCGCTGTTTCCCAGACGGTTACGCTTTTTTTATTCACTCTGTACATAATGTGAATATCCATCTAGTATCTGTGCTCCCGAGAATAGCTATAATGACGCATACTATTTTATCCCTGGAGGATAATGGACGAAAGAGACAGGAACGGAACGTACGTCTGTCAGAAACATCGTGAAGATAATAAATAACGCTCGGAGAATTCAAAGTCGAACTCTATCCTCTCTTGGCAGTCAACTACAGATAACGCCCGAGCAGAAGATAGAAATTAATAAAAAATAAAAAAATCGGAGGGAAATGCATTAAGAGGGTTTGTGGCGAAATGAAGTGAGGAGTGCACGGGGTAACGTCGGTGGCGCTGATATGAGATGGGAGGAAAAATGAAGTCTGTTTCTGTTTGGCTACCCAGCTTTTATTTTAGTTATCTCGTTACGGTCCGCGCATTGCAAAATTACAAAAAGGTAGAAACAATTTGGCGGAGTAATTCCCCATCTCCCAACAATTCATCGATTCTGAATATTCTCTAGGTGTTTATTACAGGGACGGCAATTATTGCGAGCATTTTTGCAATGCAGTATAATTTGCTTCTACATCTCTGATGCTGGAATTAAGAGACGAATTTTATCTTTTCCGTAATTTAATTTGGTTTAATTTATAGTATGCTTGCTACTAGAATTATTATTTTATTTTATAGATGCCAATATTTATAATTTCTATTTTGTCATATGTATATATACTACCACATAGCAAACAATAGCAAGCTTTTGTTTAATTAAGTTAAACAAATGTAAATATATGGAATATAAAAGTTTATTCGAGAATAATATATTTATGCTGATACTTAAATTTTACAATTTACATAATAATGTTTCATGTAACGTATGATAATGTCACGCAACATCCGGTAGAATTCTAGCTCGTTAGATGTGCAACGTTTTTGCACATCAGTCTAGACTTTTAAAGTGGGTTGAAACTCAATGGGTCTCGCGTGAAATATAAATTCCGAGGCATACAAGACATCGTCCTTTAAACAGCGAACATATTCTTCGCGTATTGTCCCCTTAGTGCCGTGCAGTGCGCTCGCTTGTTGCGTTTTCATCCGAGATTGCAACGCCATAACTTACATATGTGCGACACTTACGTACATGTGCAATTTTAAGTGCGGGTTGCACGCACGATGGTTGCAAATCAGGCATTTTAACTGAAGGACCGTGAAAAATTTCAAAATATTAATAACATAAGAGTAGAAAGATATATAATTAATAACCCAATTTTCTTTTTCTATTGATTAAAAACCAATAAAATTTTAAAAGATTTAAAGAGTCGTTTTACATATCATACAATTATTTTGCTGTAATATTATTAGAAACATAATATTTGATTTTTTATATCTTTATTTCGCTTTTATGACGGAAAAATAAAGCATCATCCACTGTTTTTCTTTTCATTATTAAGAACATTGTGTTTGAAGGGATATTATTTTTGTTTTTAATTCTAAGAAAGAATTCTTGTATAATTTCTAGGCTGTTATTTTCCAAACAGTTTCAATCCCCGTTGCAAATTGAACGTTGGGAGGCTTATGTCGGCCAAGCCGCCATGGAAGGTTGCATCATTTACACATAAGGGAACGTAATGCTCATGGGAAACTACGGCTAATAGCTCCCGTATTTTAGAATCTGCGCCGTCGCTCCTTCCAACGGGATGCTAAACTCGTTTTCTTTTTACAACCCCACGGTCTTATTTCTGCCTACCCTGCACGCGGCAGATAGGGTTTCGGTTGGGAATGTTGCGTCCCACCTATTCTCGGCGCGACCCTTCGCATAATAATTTTTATAGCGAACGAGTTGAAATTACTTTTTAAACACGAGATGTCTCATGGCGATCGTTTCGCGATTAATTATTTTGCGTCGGACATTTACTGAATTAGATTTATTATGCAGAAAAAGGATGTATTCTTGCTTCATTCATACATACATATAACGAGAATCTATGCTCTTTATTTTAGCATCATTAAAACTTTTCATTACATATGCACATCATTTATCAACCAAAATGACGACATCAACTATTACGGCTGATTTCGGTTACATGTACAACATGCAGGAACACCAAACTAATAAAGCTGAGCAGTTGATTACGAATCAGAATATCTCTATATTAATTTACACGCTTCTATGTACAGGTGATATAAACAGGTATAATATTAAATATAGTATTATATCTATTTGATAAATATTTAGTGATAATATTAAAGACTTTTTACATATTTGATACAACATACATTTATTTGTATATACATTTATTGTAAATATACATTTATTTGTAAAAATATACATTTTTACATTTATACATTTATTTTAAAATACATTTATTTGTAAAAATACATTTATTTGTAAAAATACATTTATTTGTAAAAATACATTTATTTGTAAAAATAAATAAAGATAAAGATGATACTTCAAATCATTATTCACACTGTCGGAACTATTAATTTATTAGATTAGAGATAGATTATCTACTTTCAATGAAATAAATTATTGGAATTTGAATGGACTTGATTATGCCAAGTCTTTTCAGATTTATAAAAATAGATTTCCACGCTGATGATTTATTTCCTAAATTGAATAAATCATCACCGTGAAAATTTCAGTTCAATTTCGTGACGATTGAGGATGACAAATGCAGGTCTGCTGCATTTATTCGAAATAGAAACACGCTGATTTAAAAATAACGTTGCGGTAAATGCGACACAAGAATATAGAATAAGAAAAGAAAAAATAGCGTAATAAATATATCGGTTCATCTTCCGTTCTTCGGGTTTTTATCCCTGGGAGGATTTCCAAGGTGAGGAAATGGGACCTTTCCGGTGTACGCATAGGGACGTCCGTTCAGCGGTTTTCCGGAAGTTCCGAGACGGGAAGTTCCAGGGTAACTTAAAGTTAACTGTAACTCAATACTCGTAGCCCCCACGTTGCATAACGAATCTAGGACTAAATGTGAAAGGATATGCCGACTAGCCACCTCCGACCATCTAGCTAACCGCCATGATAGTTCACCCGCGAGAGAGGGTTTGTTCTCCTAACGTCTGCAACATTGTCGGCACCACGCCGTAGTATATATCTTACTCTCTGTTCGCCGAATGTTAAATCCAGCGAGATTTGCATGTCGTGTCTGTGGATTTCGCGCGCCAAGCGCTAGAAACAACTACGTTGTGGTAAAGCAATTAACGATGTCCACTGTAACTGTCAATCCTCCTGTACCATTTGTTGTAATGGCATTCCGCGAAAGAGTCTATTACTGAAATATGCGGAATGATTTCCGTGCGAGAAAGTTTATTTTAAATCATTTATATATCCGTATTATATTGCTTTATATTACGACTAGAATAGATATTATATTCCTCATATTTAATAATTTTTCATAATTACTACGTTAAATTACTCGAAAATGTTATTTAGTAATTATATTACATGTAAATATTTTGATAATTTATCTTTTTTTCTTTAATTTCCTTTCTAAATTCACACAGAATAATTCATATCGTTTCACGTAGGTCGTTTTAAACGGGTCGTTTTAAACGGGTTTACATTCAACGGGTAATATTCAAAACAATTATCTCTTCTTTTATCGTCTTTTATCCAAACCGTTATCAAAATTACACAAGCACAGTGAAAAAGTTTCATGAGATGTGAAATTTTAAAAGGACTTACGCGACTGAAACGAGTGCTGGCCAGAATGAGAGAATTCATGCGATAGGGATCGCTTTCGCGTTAATTTCGAAAGGCGAGTATCCGGGCCAAGTTTTCACGCTGGGTGTGATGTTGTATGTTTTGCCGTTCGCGATGGTCATTAAAGCGCAGAATGGAAAATGGAGGAATGGGTCGTCGTATGAATTACTTAATCCGCGCACGAGCAGCACGGGGCGCAAGTAATCGAATCAAATGCAAGATTGCTCTCGTGAAATCCCTTCGCATTTCCTATTTGCGCATTCCTCCGTTTATTGCCTATGCGCTCGGCCTAGCTAAACGCAGATTTATTACAAATGTGCATGGACCGAACCATTATGGGTTTTTTTTTATTCTTTGTACTCGTGCGCTTCTAATTAGAGACCTTAGCCGCTTCGCATACCATTACCATCTTTCCGCATGATTTTATTCTCGTTACAAAAATTGCAGGCAGAAAAAGAGCATCAACATAGAATATAATGGTATCATTAGCGTATTTCGCTGAAATTTGGTTAAGATTAAAAATTATAATTTTACGTACTTTATTAAGAGAAATATACATTTATAATTTATTGATTTACTAAAAGAAATCGAGCAAGGATTCGTAGA